AGCTTAGACTGCTTAGTGTAGTTCAGGATCAACAAGACTGCAACCTTGATTGAAATTTCACTTCTCTAGGCAGTAAGCTATATAAGAAAACTGAAATTTCATAAATTTTAATCAGTAATCACTATTAGATTTTCGAAACTTTAAGTAGGTTATGCAAGAAATTTGAAATAATAGATAAAACTTACTGGATTACAGGATTTGGACTTCAGGAGGACAAATTCAATCAATCCCAATTTGGCACCTTTGAATCTTCACTTTAACACAACAGATTTACTGCAATAGATAAACTATTACAGCTTTAGAGTAGTAGAGGTCGATTCAGAAAGAAATAACATAGGAGAAGCTAACGAGAGAAAGGGCGAGAGAAGGCTGAAAGCTGAAGCGGACGAGAGAGGCAGAGAGCGATGACTGATGAGCGATCGATAGAGCCATAGAGTGATAGACGAGATGATTTTAAATTTTAATCGAGTAGTCAACGGTCCATCTCCATTCTCCAGAAGGGACGCCCGACGCCTCGTGTTCTTCATCTTCAGTTGGAGTGTGTTTTAGATCGAAGACGAATTGAAGAGTCACCATGCGTTTGTGCGAAATTGACAGTTGGCGCTAATTAGGTCTTCATCGGCTGCTGCCCGCCTGCCCCTTATGTCTTCACATGGTTTTACTGGACTAACCAAATAGATGTGGCCCAATATACAATAATACTATAACAGACTTTAAAAAATTGATGCCCCGCTACAACTTGATGCCCTGGGCCGTGGCCCAGCTCGCCTTGGGCTTGGGCCGACACTGAGGAAAAGTAAAAGCAATAAACCTTTTCTTACAAGCATGATTGTAGCAATAAACTAATCAAAAGCAAATCGAACACCATCATGCTCATTTTCGGCCATATAGCTAGAAGGAGACATAATCCAATAGTTCATTACTTTATGACAACTAACAAGTTACATATACTAACTAGGTGGTTACTCAAAGTGTCCACTTATTTGTACACATACAATTTGATATTAAACCATATATGTTCTCTTTTATTATTATTATTTTGTAGAAATAATAATTCATAATATGTTGGTAAAATATTATTTCCCAAAATAACGTTTTTCCAATTAAATACAAGTTTTGATAATATTTATTAATTATTAAATTATACTAATAAATAATTAATTAATGATAACTTGCTATAAGGTGTGACCTTATATGATCATATATTATTAACAATATCATTCTATAATGACTCTTGAGCATACAAGATATTTCAAAATATTGGGGTTAAATGCAAACTGAGAAAAATACGAAAGTGACACATCATTATGACCTGTTAGTGACCAGCCAATGACCCGAAAATGAAACGTTTTCTAAAATATAATGACAAATGAGGAACAAAAAATAAAGTTGTAGCTAAAACAGAATAATATTGTATAAATATTGGTTTTTGTAGCATAAACACAAAAAAAAAAAAAAAAAAAAAAAAAAAAAAAAAAACATAGGAAAGGTATAAGGGAAAATGACATATATGCCCTATCAACTTTCTAGGGTTTACCTATTTAGCCACTTAACTTATTTTGTGGCTTTATAAGGGAATGAATTACATTTTGTCGGGTCGATTAAGTGCTTTTGGGCAAAATGTAGGGGTCATCCGGTTACCCCTTTGCCACATCAGATGTTTGTTGACCAATTATTCCTTAACCCAGTACTATTCGTCTTCTTCCCCATTTGATATTCCTCAATCATGTTATCTGATACACATTAGTAACATCAAAATCATGTCGTCATGTTCTGATTACGCCGATAATTATGTGAGGTTAACAAAGTACACACTAGTAACATTTCTCCCAAAATCATTGTCGCTAATTTCTACTTTCTTGTTACTGGGACCTTAGCTTTTACACCATTAGCTCCTTACTCACCTGATTCTTCCTCTTATTATCGTCATTGGTGCTACAATTGTTAAAGAAGGGATCGAAGATTGGCAAAGACAACAACATGTATGTCCATAAGTTTGAAATTTAGATATTTCATGATTGAATGGTAGATCTTATAGGAAGTTAAACCTTATTTAATTTCGAAATTTCTAATCTATTTTCAGGATCATGAGGTAAATAATCGAAAAAGTTAAAGTTCATTGTACTGGTGGAGTTTTCGAATCGATCCAATGGAAGAAACTAAGAGTGCGTGATATAGTGAAAGTAGAAAAAGACGAATTCTTCCCTACAAATCTTCTATTACTTTCATCCAGCTTTGATGACGCAATCTGTTACGTTGAAACGATGAATCTTGATGGAGAAACACAGATTCCAAGCTTCGAAACACATATTACATCTATGGCGCCCCTACACTCCACCGGCCGCCGCCCACAAACAAGCCATCGATTGCAACTTTTCTGCTTTCGTTCTTCACCTTCGTCGAGTCAACCAGGCACCGAAGTGCTTCCCGGTTTTCTGATTTTAGTTGCGTTCCTCTTCATTCTCGATTGACTGCCTTTGTTTCAAACTCTTACACTTTAACAAAGACGAAAATGATGAACAGGAAAGAAATGGGCCCAATTTTTGGATATGTGGCACTCAAACCGGTTATAACAAGTCAAGAGGACTAAAAAGACAGATAGCCCACGAGTTTGTTCCCTTATAAAGCCACTTAAAAATTTAAGTGACTAAAAGAGTTAACCCTAAAAACTTTATAGGACATATATGTCATTTTCCCAAAGGTATAACACATAAGGGCTTTCTTGTGCTTTACCGCACACCATACATCCGGTGGATATGGTGTTCACCGCACACCGCCATATCACCTCCGCCGCACCATGCGATGGAGTCACATTGATCGGTCAGTTCACAACGCCCTTCACTTGGCCTATTGGTTCCAAAGAGACTTGGGGAGCTGCAATTTGTATACTGATATATAGAATATCAAACTGACTTATCATAATATTTAATCGGGAAATTGTCATAAAAGCCCTGAAGTTTTTCAAAAAATGTCGGTTTTACCCTTGGATGAGTTTTTGGGGTATTAAAGCCGAATACTTTCACTAAATGTATCAAATATCTCATTTAACAGGTTGGACCCTTAGTAGCCGGTTACCCATGTGCTGATTTGGCACTATAGGTGACATGTCAAACAACATGGGCCCCATTTTATAACCCTCTCCCACATAACCCTTCCCCCCTGTTTCTTGCATCCTCTCGCACTGTAGTATTATCCCACGTAAAATGCCAACATCTTCTGCAAAATCAAGCTTGAATGTGAATTCACGATTCAAGAAGAAGATCGAAGTGAAGTGTTGGTGTGAAGATTTATGCCCTGTGTTTGTTTCACGCACACCAGAAAATCCAGGCATGAAATTTTGGGGGTGCCCTAATTATAAGGTAAAAATCATTTTCCCTTTTCTTTAATAGGATTGCAGTAAGGGTATTTTGAAATGACCTAATTATGTAGGGGGAAGGAGGTTGTGGGTTTTTCAAATGGGTTGACGATGAAGGAGTTCAAAAACAAGATATGATGCCAGAGTTAAATCGGATTACAGAGCAACGGCAAATGATGACATTAATGCAGATGGTTGTTGTTTTGTTAGGGGCTATATTATTCATGCTTGTTCTAGTAGTATACAAGATTTAATGACAGTTGGTTGTTATGACACTAGTATTGTGATATTGAAATATGTAGCTTTTGATGGTCTGAAATATGTAGCTTTTGATGGTATTTGATACTTTGGTATGTATATGTAATGTTAGGATTGTAATTTGTAATGTATGGATGTTAATTGCAATGTATGGATGTTAATTTGTAATGTATGGATGTTAACTGGAGTACAAGTTGGTTTGTTTTGTAAGTATATTACATAAAATGGTATTGCAGTAAATGGATGTTAATTGCAATGTTGGATGATTAATTTCAGTAAATGGAATTTGGAGTACAAAAAATGGTAAGTGATATGAATTTGGAGTAGAAGTTGTTGAATGGTCACAATTGGTGGTAATAATTGTAATTTCAGTAAATGTAACAAGTGGTATGAATTTGGAGTAGATTGAATTAAAATGGTAATTGGTATGAATTTGTAGTACATGTTTAATTACATACTACCAATATGTATCCATTACAAGTGTAATTGGTATGAATTTTTAGTTGGTATGAATTTGTAGTACAAGTTTAATTAAAATGGTAATTGGTATGAATTTGCAGAAACAATTGGTGAATGGTAACAATTCTAAAAGATTGAACATAATATAGAAGGGGGAGTATCCATTAGTTTAATTACATACTACCAATATGTAGCAGCCATCCATTTGTACCAAAATGCCTAAACAATGCACAAAAAGGCAACCTAAATGGTAACAATTGGATGCATGCTGCAATTAAAATGCCAAAAAACAAAGTTTACAAAAGTGGCAACCTATACCATTCTCACTACACTCCCATCCCCCTTTTTGCTAACAAACTACTCCAAGTTAATTGGCTTTATAGAAGAAGAACCACCACCATCTTTGTCATAGACACCCTTCCTTAGCTTTATATTGGTAATCCTCTCAGATGTTTTCCTTGTTATCCTAAGCATTGGGAAAACCTCATGTCCTTCATTATCACCCTGATTTTCCTCATCATCACCCAATTCTTCAACACCACCTTCAGGTCCATCAACATCACCTTCAGGTCTATCACCATCATCAACATCTCCACCACCATGACCTTCTTCATCACCATCACCAACAACTTAATATCCAACACCATGATCAGGTCCAGCTCCATGAAATTCTCCATCACCATCGCCAATAGCTTCATCTCCAACACCTTCAGCTCCACCATCCAGACCAACATCATCATCAGAATGATGACCATCAATGAAATCATTTACATCCTAGTGTAAAAAGATATAATTAGTTCACAAAAATCACCAGAAAAATTGTTAATTAATAAAAGCTAATAGGTCTTACCAGTTCAACTGGTGAGGAATCATCCAATTCCACTTGTACCCCTGGCATAGATTCTATTTTTGCCATGCTATAACCAGCTTATAGCATATTAGCAATGTCTTCAGGTCCTATTTGTATCTTCTCTGGGAGAATATCATCCTCTTTGCCCTCAGTAAACTCAATAACATCATTATCTTCCATCTCATTGTCACCATTTAGTGGACTGGACTTTGTTTTGTTTGTGAAGTTAACCTCTTGTAAAATTGCATCAATACCTTGTTCAATTTCATCATTTATTGATTTAAGCTTCCAACCAATACTGGATCCTACTTACCCAATAGTGTCACTACCTTCCATCACACTTGTTTGACTAGTTCCTCCTTCTTGCATCATTTGACCATCCTGAATATGAATTACCGGAACATCCTGCACAACACCTTCTTCCTGCACAACACCTTCTTCCTGCACCACACCTTCTTCTACAACAGTAGGAACTTCTACAACTGGAACTTGTTGAACCACACTTTGACCCACATTATAACCTTTTTGCATGACATTTTCACCCATCACATTTTCACCCTCATCAGAAACTGGAACTTGATGAACCACACTCTATTGAGTACTTATAGTTGGAGTATTATTCCTAGTTTTTGCAGAACCAATCCTCCCACCACCTCTCCTTGTGCACAACTTCTTCCTAGGTACATCAATACTATTTCTCCTAAATCTTTTAGAACCAGCCTGTTGCTAATGTTTTCTTGGACTCATCCTCAATGTGTTATGTTTTCTTGGACTCCTCCTCACTATGTTAGAGCATGAAGGTTGACTTAGGACATTTGGTTGACCATGGCTTGTAGTATTGTTTTCTCTCATTCTCTTCTCTCATTTAGTGACTGGTTAGGAACAGATACATGGGGGATGAGATGTTTTCTTGGCCTTCCTGTCTTCTTTGGTGGGGGAGGCACATGTTGTTTTCTCTCATTCTTACATGCCCTCTTGTTATGACCATATTCCAAACAATTACCACATCTGGTAGTTCTTGCAACCTTCACTTTTGTTGTTGAAAACTTGCTCTCCCTTTCACTGGCATGCCTCTTTCTTGGTAGCAGGCCTACCAGGCATCCTCCTAGACATTGGAGGAAATGGCTTAATGTACTCAGTTTGGGCCCAAAGATTGCTGCCATTAACAGGTTCAATGTTTTGTTGAGTAACATTGCCTAAATTTCTCTTTAGAGAAGTATGCATTGATGTATGCATCTGGTGTTTGATGGATAAAATTAATTGCTGCATTTGCATGCACACAGGGATGCCAGCCAAATCCCACACCTACATGACATGTCATATCATCTAAGTCCACCCTATAACTGTCAAACCCTCTTCTGGCCTCAAACACATGCCCTTGACTATGAATTATTCCCCAAAACCTACAATCAAGTATCTAGTTAGTAACAATAATTAATGATTAAGAAAAGTTTTAGAAAGCATAAAATAGTACCTCATATTTTTCCCAAATCTATTCATTTTTTTTCAAAATTTTTGGGCAAACATTTGAATTCCACTTTTCACTTTCGTCATTCATGTAAGCAAACCTGTCCATGATATAAATCTGTATCTCTTCAAGCATGGTGATCAAAGGTTTTTTCCTAGCATCCAATATTATTGAGTTGAAGCACTCGGAGATCCCATTCTCAACTGCTTCCCATGCATAGCCTGATCCAAAATAGGCTCTACACCATGTTTCTAGTTGCTTTGACATCAAGTATTCATATGCAGAAGGGTTCAATTTATTGATGCTTTCCATATGCCTCTTGAAGTCACCTTGTGTGCAACTCATAGAGGCAGCCCAAAACAACTTCTTATATTCCAAACCTGTGAAAGCCTTTCTAAAGTTGGCATAAATGTGCCTAGCACAATGCCTGTGTTTAACATGAGGCAGTATATCTTTCACAGATTCAAGCAGACCCTACAAGACAATCATTTAATTAGTTTAATAGAGGAGAAATATGTAATAAGATAATTATGCAATTAAGTAGAGGACAGTATGTAAATTTTACCTTGTGTTGATCTGATATCACTACCAAAACTCTTCCACTATCAAGATCTAAATCATCCCTTAGAAGCTCAAGGAACCATGTCCAGTTAGCCTTATTCTCAACATCCAACAAGCCCAAGCAATTGGGTAGACCTGATTATTGGCATCTCTACCTATGGCTGTCAACAACTCACCCTTTACTGCTCCCTTCAGAAAGCACCCATCCAAACCAATAACTCTTCGACACCGTCTTTTCCAGCCTTCACATATAGCTTTGAAACCAATATAAAACCTATGAAAATAGTTTATCCCATCTGGATTGACAGTTACACACACCTTACATGTAGAGCCTCGATTGGATCTTAACAACTCCTGTGCATAATCCCATATTCTGGCATAATGTTCAATCAATTTACCTTCAATTAGCTCCTTGGCCCACTTCTTGGCCCTACGACATTGGCCTATAGACACAGCACACCTAAACCTTGTCTGAGGTCAGTAATCATCTCTTTAAGCTTCACCTTAGGTTTATTTGCATTTCAGTTATGTAGTGCTACCTATCCATTTAGGAGTAACCATAGAGCCAAGTTTGAACTTCCTACCACAAACAGGAGTAGCTTCTAAAGTCTTGATTTGAATTAAATCTTTCATTGAACATCCATGAGGCCATACTCTGAAAGGGAAAACCAATATCCTCATTTCTTTTTCCCACATCTTACAAGTATTCTTGTACT